CCTCTTTAACAGTTGTGTATGGTTTTACAATGACCAGGTCAAAGGGTTGTATAGGTTCTTAAAAATTGCCATTACACTACTTATAATGTGTTGATGACCTTTTAGTGAACTGGCCAAGTGGGATCGTAATCAATGACTGACAGCAGGCAAGAAGCCAGAGTCATCGCTACAACTGCATTTGTTTTGACAGTCCTCATAAACAAATCATTATTCATTAAGACAAAGTATAGTAAGAATAACAACTGTGACTCAGATGCAGCTCACATAATGCTAATAGTGTTTAACCGATGGAGTTTATCATCCATCTTTTTGTTGTTGTTTTTAAAAATACATTTCAATGGGCTGATGAGTTTTGCAGTGTGCACATTATTCGATTTTCCTTCATAGTTTGCGCCTTAAATCAAAAGAGTTGTAAATTATTTAGATATATATTTAACAAAATATCTACTCATCATACGTTTTAGGTGCTTCCCAATAGTTTGTATAAAGCTTGATGTTTAATCCTCTTCACATGTCTTCTCCAGTACAATGTGGATAGATGCCCTGCAGAGAAAAGCAGATGAGGAGACTCTGGTTCTCCAGAAGTTAACCAGCGACTGGCAGAACTACAGCCGAGTTTTGAGCGCCATCAAATCCAACACGAGCAGCACCACACAAAACATGCGCTTCCTCCAAAACAACATCGTAGCAGATCACCAGAGAATCGCCATGTCCACTGAGGTGTACTACGACCTCACCCAGCAGGTGGGTTTGTGTTTGCAGCCGCCCCATATACATTTTTATTACATTTTTGAGAAACACAACCATTGTATCAATCAGCATAATTACAGGTTTATAATTAGAGTCTGTCAGCAGCTTAAACATTTGTCTTTCAAAAACCCATGGGCTGAATGCTGCTCTTTTGTGGGTGTGTTCGTGTACTTGTACACCAATTTGGAGACTAACTTGAACCTCAAAAGTGCTAACATTTTAGGTTAAGAATTAAAATTAAAATTAGTTGTGGTAATTGTTGGGCCTAGCCATGTAGTTGTGATGGTTAAAAGTTGCAACATTCTTAAATAGTGACTTTTATTTACCATGCTTTTATTTGGAAAAGACAGAAAATAAAATAAAACTGGAAAAACTGAAATTAAATTAGCTTTATGAAACCAGTATTTATTTAGAAAATAAAATGTGGTAAATATGACTAAATATGTTAAATTCCCTCCCCTCAATGATTTTATTACCCTACCTTTATGAGAACCTACAGCATATCAAAGAGGGTCTTCAAAAGTAAAAAGTTTAACATGTTTGTATTTTCTGCAGGTGATGAACCTACAGATGCAACTTGACAATGTGACATCTTTCATGGACGAGCACGAGGAGAACATGCATGACCTTCACTACCATTCCAGGTAACGCATGCAACACACGTGTACTACTGCATATGAAAGGACATTGTACTGACTTACATCAGTTCCCTGGGGCTGAACCCTAACCTTACCTGCATAATCCTTACCTTTACCCCAACCTTAACCTCAGTCAAATTCTAACCTTAACCCTAAAGGCAACTCTTGTGGGCACCAGATGTCCCTACACCATTACCAATACATAATGCACACACATTCGACATTCAGATGCAGAAAGAAAGAGTATTATTACTACAGAAATTTAAAAACTCGCACTGTAACCATCCTTCTCATCTTTAGGTACTATGAGAACCGGACAGGTGAGCGTTTCTCTGCACTGGATGGTCGTCTGAACTCCATCTCGATGGAGATTGACACAATCTCCTCCAGCATCAATGCCACCGTCAGCCACGTCCAGAGCATGTACAAGTACATCAACATCGAGAGCTCATCCTGCCAGAGTCGCATGGGAAGACACACAGAAGACCTACAGGTAGTTACCTCAGAAGAATTTTTATTGCTTATGCATCTACATATGGACGACAAACAAACACACAAAAAAGTTATTTAAGAGATGTTTTATACTATATCACACAGTGGCACACTTGGCACATCATATACATCCAACAATAGACCCACCCCTTACCTGACTGCCAGTTTGTGTATCTGATTTATTGCCACACGTATGATTGGATGTCTTTTTTATGCCCCTTACATGTTCTTTGTAAATTATGGCTGATGACCCGAGTGCTGCTAAAGCTTTGATACTTCAGGGCAAAATAATTAAAAGTTAGCTATGGCTAGCAAGCCTCTTTGATTTGAAGTCTATAAACTCATCCTAAATATTATTAACAGTGAGACTTATCACTGGTAATTGTACAAGCTCAATCAGCATAATCTGCTTGCTTTAAGGTTAACAAAGTTGATTTGTAATCTTTCATTCATAGCCCAATGCAACATTTTTCTGTATTTAATCTTACCTGATGTGTCCTTGCCTTGTCTCTCTTCTACTCTCCCTTCCTTGTTTCTCTTCCTTTGTGTGCTTATGGATTTTCCTCTGCTCCTCCTTACTTTTGTGCAGAACCTGAACAACACAGTCTTGTTACTTCTTCACTTGGCCGACACACTGAGACAGCAGAACATGTTGTTGAATGTGCGACTGGATATGGATGTGAGGAACCTGTCCATGGTGATGGAGGAGATGAAGCTTGTGGATGTTCACCATACCCAGCTCATAAAGAACTTCACTATAGTAAAAGGTATAATATATAATGATATGTCATGTCTAAAAAGCAGAACAGTGCATGTATACTTTATTCTTTAACTTCACCTCACTATCATCTGCCAACAGGTATTCCTGGACCACCAGGGCCCAAAGGGAACCGTGGCGAGACCGGCTCAAAAGGACCCATGGGACTGACTGGGAGCAAAGGTGACCGAGGCCCTACAGGAAGCCGTGGATTACTAGGAGAGAAAGGTTCTTTTGGGCCCAAAGGAGAACCAGGTGAAACAGGCCCAAGTGGCAATAGAGGGTCAATAGGAATCAAAGGAGCTAAAGGGTCTCCTGGTCTTCCAGGACCACGTGGTGAGAAAGGCCAGAAAGGTGACATAGGCCTCCCTGGTTTAGATGGTGTCCAAGGTCCCTCAGGGCCTCCAGGCATCCAGGGTCAGGCAGGACTACCAGGAATCATTGGGCTACCAGGAGCAAGGGGAAAACCAGGGCCAGACGGGCCCCCTGGACCACCAGGAACCCCTGGACCTCCAGGCTTGCCGTACCCCCGTGACCGTATAATTACCCAGCAGCGGGCCGTGACGCCTGCTACGGGGTCCAAGAGACAGTAGAACGATGGATGAAGACACTGACTCAGAGGGGATTTGTCCCGTACAAAGAAGCTTAAGAATTACTGACGGATACAAACTGAGGGAATATCATCCATTGTGACCAGAGACGCAGAAATGCATTTCTGTGGGATTTTGCAAGATAATCGAGAACATTATGAACAAATGCAACAAATCAAATTGGAAATGGGGCCTTAAAGGAGACATTCCCCCTCATAATATGACGTGGCCACATGAAATGAACCAAGAGGAACGTCTAAAAAGTAGAAAACACAACTGCTGCCACAGACTGAACTGTTGTGAGAAAGAAGACTACCCAAGACCTAAAATGAACTTTGTTTTGACAGACATTGAATTTTGTATGGTGGTACGTTGGAGAAAACTGCCTTCATACAACACATGGGTCTCATAACTACTTTTGCTGAGTGTTTCCTTCTACACCAAAGCCAAAGAATATCCAAATACAACAGGTCCATAAATGAATGACATAGCTCGAGGGTTTACCAGAATTTAAAACTTCATTACGAGATTAACAGGAATGAAAAACGTCTTGCCTGGTTAAATGTACTGAAAGCAAGGAATATATTTGAGGTTGTTGTCAAGCCACCAAAACCAAATGGGGCATAATAAATAGGAGGGCTGTTAACCACAGATTTGGACTAAAGTAGTGGTGTTTTCCCATCCAGACTGCTCAAGGGTTTACATTCCCATGCACTACTATATGGGCACAGAAAAAAAACATCTTTTTGTTTTTACTTTATGTACACATTGACACCCTTTTTCTGATGGATGACACTTTATTGGTTCTAAAGTGTAAACAATTTAATCAGTTTGCTTTTCTTTTAGCATTTCAGAGCAGGTACTCTGAAGACTTCTTTTATCTGCTGGGCAAAACTGTCATTTTATCATCTATCATCGTGTGTTTGAACAAATAAAGTTGCCTCTGTTTATTGCTGTTTTTAGACAAAAGAGAATGAAGAAAGTAAAAAGTACCTCTCTCACTGACTCTTGTTGACATGTTTGTGAAAACATTCTGGGAAATACACATATTTGCTTTCTTTGTGAGAGTAAGATGAGAAGATCTGTATTACTCTCATGCCTTCGCACCGGAGGTAGAGCCAGGACGTGATTAGCCTAGCTTAACATAAAGACTGGAAGCAGGGGGGAAAAGCTAGCCTGACTCTATCCGGAGCTCTCTAACTAACAAACTGTATGTTGTTTGTTTAACCCATACACAAAAACAGACATTATACATTTCAGTCATATTAAGTTACTAGCTGAGATACACTGTGGTAAATAGTAAATAGTAGGTGTTGGCAGGCTTACTTGGAGGGAGCCAGGCTAGCTGTTTCCCTCTGCCTCCAGTTTTTATGCTAAGCTAATTACCTCCGGCTCCAGCTCTGTACCTTATACACAGACATCTTCTAATCTACCTCTTGGAAAGAAAGAGAACAAGCATATTTCACAAAATATTGAAGTATTCAGTATGAAGGCTAGAAAGGTCATGAAACTCATTCAACACATAAATGAATACTAACGTTTGTTAACATGTAATACAATTAAAAGAGTTTGTTTTTCTGCAACAGGTATATTATATTTGCCAGAGTTTCTACTTTTAACAATCGTGATAGAAAAGTAATGAATGAAGAGGGTTTGGTCTTGTGATACACGCATAAATAATCTTTTATATCTCAGAAAAAAAAAACTTCTACAAAAAGGGAAACATACTATTTTTGTAAACCTGTGTGTTGTAATGAAATGCGACTGGATTGCATTGAACTTCAATAAAGCTTTTTTGAACAGTCTCACTCTTGTCAGTATTACTGTACGTCGAAAGCAGAGTGCTATTGTTGCCCTGTGAAGGAAAGGGAGCGGCCATTAATTCAAAACACATGTCAGCCCCTCCCATTAGATTTTTGAGGTTTGCTGCCACTGACTAAAATATATTAGATTGTCTAGATTTACCCTGTTGTTTTAACATAGGTACAAAAATGTGTCATACAATTTACATTTTGCACTTCATAGTGAAATTAAGTGTAGTGTATATTTGTCTTTTTATATAATTAAGGGACAAAGATAAATTATTTATGCTATCTAAAGCATTATTCAAAATACGTTTCACAATATTTTAATGTGAGTATGATCAATCAGCAAACATTAATGAAAAGAAATTATGTAGATTTGTTGCTGTATAGAAAACAGCTGATAACTTCCCTGCAGCAGGCTGTGGCGACAGCCCTGATCTCCTGCTGAATTATATTTTCACAGCATTTCCGTCTCTTTCTCAGTGCTGAAATATGACAGGCCCTGTGGGATCTTAGGAACCTGATCTCCAACAAAAATGTCCTTAAAGAATCCACCCAAATCCCTTATTCATGCAGCACCCATGATTGTGCGTTATTAGCATGGAACATTTGCTCTAAATTATTCATTGTTTTCACCTCAGAAAATTGAAAAAAAGAGTAAAATGGCTGCTGTTTCTGATCTTTGAAGTAGGAAAATATGGCTAATATAAAATCCATTTCCATTATATATATAATATCCTGGATTTGACCCTAGCATTACATATATATGTTATATATGTTATGCTTTGTTCTCACTTCAGTCTGACTAGCACAATTCCTCTGTGTGGGGAGGGAGACCTCCTGCAGACTCCTGCAAATCTAAACTATTCCCACATGTGGAGCCATAAATCATCAGGACTGTTGCTAAACAGTTGGAGGACAAATTTGCAAGGCACAATATTACAGATGTCACCACATTCAGCCACAAAGAGCCACACTGAGAAAACAAAAAGACAATGAAAAAAGAAAAGGAAGGGAAAGAAGGAGTCTTGGACTATAAATTCACTAAATCCCCAAAGATTTGGCCAATGACTTGATTGAAATATCATTTGGTCAATTCACTATACATGTAGGTGCACAGCTATGCAGCGAGCTAAACACATTTCCAGCAGTGGTTAAATTGAGATTAAAGTGATTAAGGAATTAAATACATTCACCGGTGGTTCTCAAAACTTTTTTACTTGTGACCTGTTACAAGAGAATAAACTGGTTTGTCATGTTTCAGATGTCTGTGAGCTGTTAGAAATTCCACCAAGGAAACTTCTCAGATGGTTTCATAATGGTTCAAATGATTATAAAAAGTCCATAAAATAAAAACAGATTTGTATAGCAGAACTTTGTTTTTCTTCTTTCCTCTCCCATTAATCATCTCACAACCCCTCAGATTATATATTATGACTCTTTAGTGGAGGCCTGACCCCTAGGAAACAATGGATGAAACCACTTTGCAGCACAGTCTCACGCCAAAGTATGTAATAGACCTGCATTGACCTGCTTTTACTTACCTACTGGGAGTTGGACATAAAACAACAAATGTCATTTATGCACTAGAACACAACATAATGACTTAGGATGGTCTGCCATCTTTGTTGAAGCTCAAAACTGGAGAGTAAGAAATTTGTCTCAGGAGCGAACAGCCCTAGAACCAGAGTTACAGGACCAGTGTGTGGGCTGCAAAACTTGCCCTATCTAGATCCTCTTTTGTTTGGTTTGACCATTCTGGGCTACTGTAGAAACATGGTGGGTCAAGATGGCAGCCTCCGTGGAAGAGGGCCCACTAGCTGTGTTTAGATAAAAACACATTATTCCAAAAACACAACCATTCTTATGGTTTTCAGATTCAGGTGATGATACACTAAATTAAATTCCACCACCATTAGATCTTCCACAGTAGACCTTTAAACGTAGACTGAAACAGGACTCCCAACAGACTTGTCACAGGAGTGCTTATGTTGCTCAGTGTCTACTGGATGAACTAAGAAAATGCAGCTTAGTTATGCTAATCCTGAATCAATAAATGCCAAATTAATTGATTCTTTCAGGCTCAGTTCACCACAGAACCAGATAAGCCGGGACACAACTACACAATTTCTTGTTAATTAATTCCTGTGGGGATAAATACATCAACATTTCAACTTTTCACCTTTTCCGGTCTCAGCACCTCCCAGACATTCATATCAGTTACAGCAACGTTTATTGATTCATGTTTCAGATTGTCCGCCAGCCACAGTCCTGATCAAACTGAGCTTCACTTGAGTATTATGGGAAATGGAGCAGGGTAACCATGGCCTGTTTAATCTGGCAGAAATCACTTGTTCATTTCGGTTTGCCCCGTAAACCGCATTTTACTTGCAAGGTACATTTAAGAACTTTAGAATTGCAAAAGGTCACTAGAGGGGGGTTTTGATGGAGCTTAATTATTGTTTTTCTACTTATTATGGTGGCTCAGCATCTCTAATCTTACAGAAACAAACACCACAACTGTTCGTCAAGATGCAAACCTTTAGTGTCATCTTTTTGGTGACTCAAAGGAGCAGCAGTGTTTTTGTCGCTCTGCTTTGAGTTTATTCAGTGGGTTTTGAAAAGGTATCATCAATCTGAAGTTAGTATAATTTTGTGAAACAGTCTCCAACATGTGCAGAGAGAAAGAGAACTGCTCTTTGCTATGTCAAAGGAAGAAGTGTTAAAAAGGGGAAGGTGTGCTGTAGCTGTGGTGAAAACAGCAGAAACCCTCAGGCCAGATGTGCTTTCTGGAAGCTCTGCCAGGTCTGACTTTCCCAGGTGGAATATATTTCACCGCTTCATACATATGTAATTTTATCACCCCAAGGGCTTAGCAACAGGCTGAAAGCTCTAAATTCGAAATTGACCTGTTATTTGTTTTTCTGAAAGTCATTAATGCTTGGGATGTAACACCTCTCTCCCTCTTTCCACATGAACACTTTCAGGGCTGATTGGCTGTGAAGTGGATTGAGTAGCTGTGATGTACTGTAATGGAGTAATGGTTTGTTGCCTAACGCAGCCCACAGGACCAGTGCTTTCTGCTGACTCAGCGAGGTGACGTCATGCCTGCACATGGCTGAGATGAGGTGAATGAGACCTGGGTCTCTGAGCTTCACAAATAATCCTACTTTAAAGTTTATATATACAAGATTTGCTTGTTGCACTCGAGCACCAGCATCTTAGACCGAAACAATGGGAGCTACCGCCGACTAAACTCCATTTGCAAAACCAGTCATTTTATTCAACAGATAATCATAAAACACACTTCAAACTCGACAGAAACAAAATAAAACCAAACCATGTTTGTTAGTATTACTAGTCTTTCAAACAATTACCAGTTCCTGTTTCGTCGAAATAAACCCTCAATTCACCAAGTGAGAAACCAGCCGTGAAATGGGCTGCCATAGCTGTCATGTACTGTTAGCAAATCCTTGGGGAGAAATTTTCCGGTCAAAGACCAAAGTGTTTGGCAACGTTATGGAAAGGATCCCTACAGAGATAGACCTTTTGTTTAAGCAGAAACAGCCATAATATCACTATCACTCACCACCAGACTGGTAATTTTACCTTGCATATCATCATAACTTCGTTCAAAGGGGATGGAAACAAAATAAAACTCAACAAAACTGTCTTTATTAGTCTTTTTCATGGTTCCAGCAATCACCAACTCTGGATTGGCTGAAATAAATCCTTAATTTACCGGCGTAGATGACAAAAACAGCCCTTTTCGTCGACTCACATGCATGCACGGCCAGACCAGATTTGCATAAAATCCCAGACAGGTGTGGGATAGCATCAAAGGCAAAGGCAGAGAGAAGTCACAAGGATTCTCTGCTCAGGACACCACGACTCCACCATATCTTTACATAGCAAAGAGTCGCTATGTTAAGAAATTTAATATGTAAAACCTCTGTCATGACATTTTCTGCAGACATTCATGGTGCCAAGATGATGAATCCTGCAGACTTTGGTAACCCCCTGACCTTTCCTCTAGCGCCACCATGAGGTTTGTGTTTTTGATTCAAAACAATATTGGATGGACTGCAATGATTGGTACAGACATTCATGTCCCTCTCAGGATGAATTGTAGTAACTCTTCTCAGTATGTATTAAATTATTTTGCTGGGTTACCTCTCCAACAGCAGGTAAACGTCAGTGTCACTTCAAAGCTCATTTTCACAACCTCTCAAATTATATATTTTGCAAAGCCATATGACCCTATTAATGCCTTTTGGTGGACATGTTTATACTTAATAGTCATTGGCCGCTTACATCTTTATTAAGATCGACAACACTGGCAATTAAACCCTTCACCTCTTCACTGTTTGCACCACTCATTAATACGACAACTTTGTAATGCAGATCAGTTTATTTTCCAACTTGTCGCTTCTTTTTTAAAATAAGATTAAAATATGATCTCAATGCAGAAGAGTAAAAGACGTCATAAACACACATAGATTATTTCTTTTTATATTCCCCTTTTAAATGTCATGCTTTTTCTTAGCCTTCTGTCACTTCGACTTTCCGGTCAGGTGGTGTAATTTCAGTCATTATGACATTATATCTGGTGGCACAGAGAGACATTACCTAACCTGGACCAGCACACACACACACTTACACATACCGGTATGCACATATACACACACAGTTTGAGACGTTAGCTAACCGTTGACTTGACAGGCCCCCACAGAGCTCATTACGTAGACAGCTGTAAAAACACTTGGCCTTTCACTCTGGCTTAGGTAGCCATTATTCTGTGTGTGTGTGTGTGTGTGTGCGTGAAAGAGGATGGGGACCACATCTGCTCCAATGTGTGCAGTGAGTCAGCAAGTAACTCTGAAAATAAATAGATTATGTCAGCCTGTGATTGAAACACACAAAAGACAGAAATTGCACTGGTGAGGCTGTGCCCAAACAAGACTGATGGAAGTACAGGGCAGCACAGTGC